TGGTAAGCGAAGAGGGAATCCACGTGGACCCATCCAAAATTAAAGCCATTGAGAACTGGTCAGCACCTAAGACGCCTACAGAAATTCGCCAATTTCTAGGTCTCGCTGGCTACTACCGCAGATTCATTCAGAACTTTTCTCGAATAGCGAAACCTCTTACAACCCTCACCCAGAAAGGCGTGGTCTTTGAATGGGAAGAGAAACAAGAAAGAGCGTTCCAAACACTCAAACGAGCCTTGTGCACCGCACCAATACTATTCCTTCCCGAAGGAATAGAAGACTTCGTAGTCTATTGCGATGCATCGAACCAAGGGCTCGGGTGTGTCCTGATGCAGCGAGGTAAGGTCATCGCCTACGCCTCGAGACAGTTGAAGACACACGAGGTTAACTACACGACCCACGATCTTGAACTAGGAGCAGTGGTGTTTGCTCTGAAGATCTGGAGACATTACTTGTATGGAACGAAGAGCACTATCTTTACCGACCACAAGAGTTACAACACATTTTCGATCAAAAGGAGCTCAACATGAGACAACTACGGTGGGTCGAACTACTCAGTGATTACGAATGTGATATTCGTTATCATCCGGGTAAAGCCAACGTAGTAGCAGACGCCCTAAGTCGGAAGGAATATTCTGGTCGCAAAATCAAGTCATTGTCAATAACCATCCATTCACACTTGTCTAATCAAATTCAGACGACCCAACTTGAAGCCATGAAACCTGAAAATGTGACGAGTGAATCCCTCAGAGGAATGGACAAGAATTTAGAAGCCAAGGGTGACGGAGCCTTATATTTCATGGATCGGATCTGGACACCGAAACACGGTGGTTTCCGAGACTTGGTCATGACAGAGGCACACAACTCTCGGTATTCCGTCCACCCAGGTTCAGATAAGATGTATCTGGATCTTAAAAAGCTATACTGGTGGCCTAATATAAAAGCAGAGATTGCAACCTTCGTGAGTAAATGCCTTACTTGCGCAAAGGTTAAGGTCGAGTACCAGAAGCCCTCTGGTTTATTACTACAACCAGAGATCCCGGAATGGAAGTGGGAGCGGATCACTATGGATTTCATAACCAAGTTGCCCAAGACAACGGGTGGACTTGACACCATATGGGTCATCGTTGATAGATTAACCAAGTCTGCACACTTCCTGCCTATCAAAGAAACCGACAAGATGGAGAAACTTACGAGAACATACATTAGGGAAATCGTACGGCTACATGGTGTACCTATGTCCATTATCTCCAATAGAGATAGTAGGTTCACCTCCCAGATTTTGGCAATCACTACAACATTCCCTAGGAACAAGGATGGACATGAGCACATCCTACCATCCACAAACCGACGGACAGAGTGAGAGGACCATCCAAACTCTGGAAGATATGTTGCGAGCCTGCGTGATTGACTTTGGGAAGGCATGGGATACTCACTTACCCCTTGTCGAGTTTTCCTATAATAACAGTTATCACACGAGCATCAAGGCTGCTCCATTTGAAGCCCTCTACGGCCGAAAGTGCAGATCCCCTATGTGCTGGGCTGAGGTGGGTGATACCCAATTAGCCAGGGGGCAAGCTTCCGACAGTACTCTCACCGGTCCGGAGATCATTCGGGAAACGACAGAGAAAATCGTTCAAATCCGTGAACGATTGAAAGCCTCTAGAGACCGACAGAAGAGCTACGCAAATAAACGAAGGAAACCTTTGGAATCTCAGGTGGGAGACCGAGTCCTTCTCAAAGTCTCACCCTGGAAGGGCTTGATACGCTTCGGCAAGCGTGGTAAGCTTAATCCGAGGTACATAGGGCCTTTCAAAATTCTTGCAAGAGTCGGCCCCGTAGCTTACAAACTCGATCTACCAGGCGCGCTCCGTAATGTACATTCTACATTCCACGTATCTAACTTGAAAAAGTGTCTATCCGACGAGACTCTCGTAATCCCACTCGACGAGATCGAGATCAATGAGAGCCTCAATTTTGTGGAAGAACCAGTAGAAATCATGACCCGAGAGGTCAAACAAACAAAACAAAGTCGCATACCCATTGTGAAGGCTCGCTGGAACGCTAAGCGGGGACCTGAATTCACATGGGAACGCGAAGATCAGATGCAACGCAAGTACCCACATCTGTTTCCCTAATCCACGAGTGTTCTCTTACTTTGAATTTTGGGACAAAATTCCCTCTAACGGGGGGATGATGTGACAACCCGATATTTCAACTCTTTGTAATGGCCTAATAGGTCAAGTATTGTAAACATTTTTGAGTTAATAAAATTAACTTTGATAATAAAATGTCCAAAAAGTTTCTATCTAAATTCTTCTATGTTTAAATATCATTAAACCATGATCGTACGTAAAAAGAACGCCCAAATCCGACTTCGTATATCGAAGTTGTGATTTTTCCAAGTTCAGCTTAGCAACAGACAGCTAAAAACTCGAAACGGAGATCGAGCGACATTTGGCCGGAATGACCTAAACGAGAATCGAAGGTCTCGACAATGGTATTTCAACGGTAAAAAGTCTGGCAAAAACCGACGTCAGATAAAGAAGTTATGAATTTTTAAAGAAATTCCTTAATCACGTCATTTTAATAAATAAATAATAAAAATAAATTCGGAATTTGCCAACGGAATCTAAACGAAAGTTGTAGATCGTAGTCTCACCTTCGCGGGGATATAAAGAACGTCGAAAACGGATTTCGTATGAAGGAGATATGAATTTTTGAAGTTTGATAAATAATTTATATATAGTTTTTATTAAAAATTCGGTATTATCTGAACAGGAGTCAGCCTAGGGCCGAGGTACGCGCCGCGTACCCTCGTACGCCCTGCATACTCGAGGCCACGGCCTCGGATCATCCACGTCGCCCTATGCAAAGCTACCCGACCCGTCGTCCCATCCGACCCGCCCCATCCGAAATACGTAAGCGATGACGTACGGGTACGTGCTGCATACATCCGTACGCCCCGCGTACGGAGGCGGTTCAGCACCCCTATAAAAGGGATGCAAGCCTTTCCGAAAAATTTGTTCATTTTCTCTCTTTCTCTCACGATCTTGCCTCGATTTCCGTGCCCGTTCAAACCCGAAGCTCTGGTCTTTTTGCTTAAGTCCCGAGAGTCGATTTTACTCCCGAGATTCCCGAGAATCCCGAGAAAAATCCGTTTCCCGAGACGAAACTCTGCCCGGTTTTCGATCTCGCTATCTTCAAGCTTCCAAGTGAGTTCATACCCCTTTATTCAACCTTTGAAATGCTTTTAAATGTTTTAAATACTTTATGGGGGGGGGGGGGAATTCAAGTTAAACACTTATAGTTATTGCTTCGATCACATGTGATTGCATTAATCACATGTGATTAATAACTAGGAAATCAATGATTTTATCACTATTCAAACTGTTTTACTTCAAAATGTTTCACAAACTCTTTTACTTATCAAATGCTTTTATTTAAACTTTGTTTTACTATTTATAAATTGCATGCCCATATATATATAGATATATAAGTAATGTTTAAAGGGATTAGGAAGGCCATCCGCCCTATTTCCTTTTCGCGCACTGAGATGTGGTTTGGTGGGATTTCGGGTGACCATCCGAGAGTCGTTACAATATTAGTTATATATCATATATACATGTATAGACATAAAAGTACTTCCATATTCATACTTATCAGCACATCATTAGTAAGTTACCATCGGGGTAACACAGGATCATACTACTACGATTTCTAGATCAACGAGTTAGTTCATTCAGGAGTCAATACTTATTACTAAGAGAACATATACAACGATGCTAGAACAAGTAACATTATATTACATATACACAAATACGTTAACAATTGTGATCCACTGTATGGGAGCATGTCTTAATTGTCATGACCCGAGTTGTAGCCAGAGTCTCTTGGAGGGAGAGCGTGAGTTTGCGTATAGATCTATACTGGATTGACTATCCTACACCTTGCTGCTAGCTACAGCGGGACCGACAGGTCTGCGGGTGCCAAACGTCATACCTTATTTTTCGACTATACGTTGTCGTTGTTACCAGTCGATAGTATGGTGCAATTTATCACATGATACCTTAATATAAACCCGGTTTAAGGTAGTTAGTATAGCAGTAGTTCCTATAAAACAAAACTACCGTACTACAATAATTTACCCATTACATTTTGGTGATAACCTCACTTAAACTTTAATGTACAAACTATATTTGTTAAATGATAGTTACACTTGGGAAATTACACACTGTTACATCAAACGAGCATACAAAATAGTTAAGCCTTGGTAGAGGGCTACTTTAACAGGAAATATAGGTTTTTCTGAGAGATTCAAACTTTTACAAACACTTACATACATTTACAACTCATACTTGCGACAGGTTCAAACGTTTTGATAACAAACCTCGACACTAAAATACTTATGAATTCACCAGCTTAATGCTGATAAACTCTTTCAAAATAACTTGTATTCTCAGGTCATCAGTAGTCAGGTACCGATGCTAGCTTTTGAGAAGATGGAGCGCATTCAAGACTCATCATACTATTTTGATTTACATTATATTTTTGGTGTCTAAAACTGTACGGAACACGCTTGTATTAAAATTTTATATTTAATGCAATGGATGATGTTGTTTGCTTATTTACATTTACTGTGTTGTGATACTTTACATGACGTCCTCTGCCGTAGAACGTTTCCGCCATTCTTGGTTTTGGGGTGTGACACTGAAGAATAGGAGAAGGCAGTTTGTGAAGCTGAGGAAACTTTGAAGTCTAAGAAAAATATTTTCCCTTAATGGTCAATGGGACGAATCTTGAATGAAGCCATTGATAACCAAAATGTTTATTGGCTAGATCCTGTTGGATCGTTTGAATTAGAGAACTTCCCTGATTCGTAGCTTGATCTGCCAATTATTCTAAAGGCCTTCTAGTTTTGTTGTTTTGAGAAAATTGTGAATGTTCTTCTCTCGGACAATGGTGATGATCAAATGCTATTCTTGTTCTATTTCAAGAGCATGAAGCCACAATACGAAAACTGGAGCTCAAAGAAGATTATTGGTGTCAAGGTTTTTGGACCAATTGAAACTGAGAGCTTGATCAATGCTCGTTTCAAAGTTGCTTATGGGGCTGCGAGTTCAATGTTCGAATTTACTCTTGTTGATTTATCCTACCTTAACCCATTCGATTGGATTTCTCTATTGCATCTATTCTGAAGGATGAACAGAAATTCGACTCTATTGTTGCACATCTTAAAAGAATGTTGGTTTGTTACATCCAAGAAATTGGGAAGATGGATGTGGAAATTACGTCTGTCCTTCACAAGAAAAATAAAGTGCATCCTAAGGAGCATATGAATGATCTTGACAGGATGAAATTGGGGAGAATACGAAAGGATGATTGGAGTGTGGGATTTCAAATACGAGAAAGAGCTTATGCTAATTTTCATAGAGTTTGCTTCTTTCTACCTAACAGGAATCTATACTCCACCTCATGTCTGGAATACATTTTGGATTTTATAAATCAGTGCAAAGCAAACAGTGTTGAGGACCAAAAATGTTTCTCAAATATGATCAACTGGTACATCTTGATTCGCAAAACTTTACTTCGAATGATGCCAAAAAATTTCAATGTTCAAAAGCACCAACCAAACTAAAGAATCTACCTTCCATATTTGACACAAAGGGGGAGAATGTTGTGTTATTTAATTGACTGTGTCAAATTTTGTTATGTATGTTAGGCATGTAATATTTCTATTTATGCTTATGTACTGTATTGAAATGACATCCCAAGGTTTTTAATATAATTAAAATAAATTTCTTCGGAAATGCTTTGATAATATCAAATTTATGGTAACAAATTCCACAACATTCTTCTTCAAAAGGATACTTTGATTTTCAAATACAGCATCAACAAATCGGTCTTTTCAGGTCGTGAAATTGGGGATGTTACATCATGTTATTGATAGATCTATTTCAAGCAGGGATCGATGCCATGTGGGGCCCGATGGTTGTTGGGCATGGCCCATTATATGTTGGATATGTATGGTATGTGGTATTTTGGGGAACTCACTAAGATTTGTGCTTACCATTTTATGTTTATGGTTTTAGGTACTTCCAATACAAAAGGGAAGGGCCTGGTGTTACTGCACTGCATCCACCAATGTTTCCGCAACTTTATGGTTTTGGGATTGTAATTTGATACCTATTTTTACTATGATATATTTTCAAATTTTTAAAAAGTATAGATAGTATTTATGGTTGAATTATAAATGAAAATTTTTACCTTAAATTTTATGGGACATTACAAGTTGGTATCAGAGTTTTGGTTTGAGGGATTTGGTCATACTCTTCGGTGTGTCTGAACTCAAACTGGGGGTTTGGTAGATTTTCATAAAATCAAAGTTTTAAGGGTAAATTATACGAATGGTCCCTATGGTTTATTGTAACTTGCATGTTTAGTCCCTAACTTATTTTTCTAACTCAGAAGGTCCCTATTGTTTGTTTTTGTTACACACTTGGTCCCTGTCTTACATAAAAAAATCTATTTTTCCCTTGATTTTTTAATTTATGTAAATAAACACACCCTTAGCCCCACCCTCTCACCTTACCTTACATACCCTACTCTTTTTCCCTATTTAAATGATTGTCTTTTTACGTAAGATAGGGACCAAACGCGTAACAAAAAAAAAAGAATAAGGACCAAGCGTGTAGCAATAACAAATAGCAGGGACCTTCCGAGTTAAAAAAGTAAGTTAGGGACCAAGCGTGAAAATTATCCCAAACCATAGGGACTATTCATGTAATTTACTCAAGTTTTAATCAAGGATTTTCTAATAAAAGAAATCGGTGTGGTGAGTGCAATCAGTCGAGCTCAAGTAAGTGATTCCCAAATTACCCATACATGCTTGTTATGTTATATGTTATGAGAACTTCATGCTAGATTAGGGCTAAGGATCTGCTTAGGAAATGTGCTAGGAGAGATACCTTTATATGCCTGGTTGTTTGAGCTTTCAAAATTGCATGCTAGTATGGATTTCATATAATTGGATGGATTAGACGGTATATGATGCCCTATAGCCTAAGAGGAATTGGATGTTATACTAGATTTGGAATCTTTCTTGGTAAGAAGTTAGCTGGGGATGTCCTCTGTGTGGCTGTGGCTTGGAGTGTTACTGCATGAATGCTTCTTGCTTTATGCTTTGTGGGAATCTTGATGATGTGAGTTTACTATTAAGTGAATATGTTAAGTCACACGTTACATAGGTTAAATAATCTTAGAGTGATGGATTTGACCCTGCCACTGAAAGGTCTTATTTTGTGGTTTGGGCTAGGCAATTGAATGTATAGATGTTACAGGGATTTTGTTTATGTTAATTGGAGTGTTTATGGACAGGATTGTGTTTATGGTCTGTTGTGACCTTGAGCCTATTTACGGTCTGTTGTGACCACAAACCTATTTACGGTCTGCCTGAATATAATCAGGTTTACGATCAGTCTTTATATATATATATATATATATATATATATATATATATATATATATATATATATATATATATATATACATATAGCTTGTTGGAGTCTGTTAGGTGTGGTTGTCAGTCTATCAAGTTTACGGTCATCAAGTTGTACCTGACGATTTTTAGTATTAACATGTGCAAGCTTGATTCATACTCCTCTTCTACTCATTTCTTACCTTATTTGATTGTTTGATTGATCACTGGTTAAGATCCTTGTATTGAGGACCTTACAATTGGTATCAGAGCTCAAACCGGTGTCAATTCACTTCTTTTTCACATTTACGGTCTCAATAGGCTTATGTTCGTCTGCATTTGACGCTTGGTTCGGTGTTTTCATTACGTAGGGGATCAATCAGCTGGAAAATCTGTGTTTTTTTGTCGAAATCTGTTTATTTACTGTCAGATTTGTTACAATCCTAAACTCTACTTTGACCGTAATCTTAAGATCTTCAGAAACCATACATAGGCAATCTTCATCAACCGTAAACACCAACCGTATTCTTAGACCGCAATATCTCAAACCATTTTCTCGACCGTATTTTGACAGTATTCCTAAACTATATTCTCGACTGTAGACTGTGTTTACGGTCAAAAGTTTTTTTAAAATTGTAATCTAGCCTTTTTTATTCAAGTTTTTATTAAAAAAAATCAAAAACAAAAACAAAAAAATGGAATCTCAAACCAGGTCTACTCATCATGAATTGGATTCCATCAAGGGTACCACCTCACGCATTCCTAGATTGTTATCCGCTGAAGGTTTTCCTGAGTGGAAGTATCGCATTGAAAAATATATTAAGATGAAAGATTTCAAATTTTGGAGAAGCATCTTGAGAGGACCAATTCGCATCACCACAACACTTGAAGATGGAACTGTTATTGACAAGCAAGTTGAAAACTATACTGATGATGATTTTGAAAGAGTTGAAGAACAGGAAAAGGCACTTGCCACCCTTAGCATGGCTTTGTCCCCAGAAATTACACAGGTTTTCGTGAGTACACTTATGCGAAAGCGTTATGAGAAGTGTTAATTGAAGTTTGTGAAGGAAATGAAGATATGAAGCAAAGTTGTCAAGACATGTTAAGACAAAAGTTCAACATGTTCAATTACGAATTGGGGGAATCTCTTGAAACTCAATTGCACAGGTTCATCGCTCTCACCAATGATATGAGTTATGCTGGCATTCCAGTTACAAAATTCGAAATCAACAAGAGATTGTTGAACTCGTTGCCAAAGCCTTGGGATATGAATGTATCTGTAATGAAGAAGACTAAAGATATGAATCGGTTGAGCCTAGTTGAGACAATGACGATTATTAAATTTTGTGATCTGGATGACAACCAGAGAGAAATTAATCACGTCAATTCATATTCGTCTGCTAATCTTGGCATTCAATCCAACAAAGCCTTTTCATCCATTACTACTCCACAATTTCAACCCTTCCCTGTTCATCAGCCCACATCAGATGTTATTCCATCTGTACAAAACATTCAAGTTTCTCAAACTCCAAGTTCTTTTCAACTAGTTGGTTCATCTTCAAATGCATCTGTTCAGACTCCTGGAAATACTTCTCAATCTTCAACGTCCAAAGAAAATGATGAAAATCTGGCCTTTGCTACTGGACTTGTGAAGTGTTACAATGCTTTTCTAGTTGGAGAAATTTCCCCTCAATTGTTGTTTGCTGATCTGGATCAAATTCATCCAGAAGATTTTTGAAGAAATGGATATCAAATGGCAAATGTCAATGGCAATATTTAGAGCAAAACATTTTGCAAAGAAAACCAGAAAGAATAAATAGGGAATGAATTCTGACAAGAAAGTGGGATTTAATAAGGGAAAGTTGTGATGTTATAGCTATCATGAACCGGGACATTTCTCCAGAGAATGTCCAAAACCAGATAGAACAGAAAACAGTGAACGAACTCTGGTGCTGGTAAGCAACAACAGGGGATCTACTGTCAACAATCAGACAACAAATCTTGGTATGGTGGCTCAATCATTTGATTGGGAAGATCAAATTCAAGCCCTGGACATATCAGGACCTGAAAATGCTCGTTTTGCCCAGATCAATGATGGAGTGGAAGAAGACGCTGAAAAGGATCCTAAGGTGGAAATGATGAATCTTCAATTTGCGTTTATGGTTCAGCCCACACTAGATTCTGCTAAACTAGAGGTCGGTGAAATAGGTTGCTCTCACTCTTATATTAAAACGATTAAATTTTTATGTGACCAAATTGAGATAATTAAGAGAGAGAATGAGGACCTTAAGTATGAAGGCTATACCCTTAGGAAAAGTCAGAAACCTCTGAAAACTCAATTAGAGAACAAAATAAAAGATTTCATGAAATTGCAAGAAGATTACAACAATAAGTGTGAGAATTACGATCATATCAAAAGAAAACTTGCTGCTATAACCGCTGAACTTGACACATTGAAAATCTGTTTTGAAAATGTTGATTTTAACTTTAAAAAATTCGATGTGTCAAGCGAAAGGGTTGCAGAAATAATCGAGGAACAAATGCAGTGGAAGGACCAAAAACAAGTAGGAATAGGATATGAGAGTGTCCCTCCTCCATTTAATCACAATTACATTGCTATTCCTCTGACTCAAGAAGAGATTGACAAAGAACCTTATATGGTTTATGGGAAGCCAGCCGCCGAACAAGCAACAGGACAGAGTGATAGGATTTTGGATACTAACATTTCTACTTTAAGTGCAGATATGTCAGTAATCCAGGGGGAGCAAGAGACTGAGAAGTTTGAGTCAAATAATTTGGTGTCTAAGTTTGGTGTTCAGATGTGTGATGAGTCTGTGTCAAATTTTAAAACTGATGATTATGTTTTGATGACGTGATGTCTCAGACTAATGTTTTTGAAAATTGTAATGTTTTTTATTCGAATGCATCTACATCTTCTACATTTGCTACACAATCTCATACTTGCAATTGCAAATGTGGAAATGTTAGAAAATATAATAAAAGCCTGAAATCTGATAAGAGTGGTACCAAGTCTTGCAATAATAAGCAAATTTGCTTTAATTGTGGTACTGCGCGTCATAATGCTCAAAATTGTTTTAATAGAGCGTTTGTACATTTCTTGTCCCCAAGAGGAGAAAACGAATCTCGTGGAAGGTCTT